AACGTAAAAATGTGGAATAGATTCACGATGTTTAGCGACAAAAATTTCAATACCTCATGGTTTGCAAAATTGTGCAATTACTTGACTGCAACGCTTCGCTCTTCGTATGCCATTATTTATACGGTGATTTCTGTTAATCGTTGTTATGCTATCATAAATCCGCTGAAGTATTCATCAAAATTCACTCCAACTATCGCATATCAAATATGTTGCGGTATCGTATTTATAGCAGCTCTTATCTGGTCACCGCTCGTTATAGGTTTATTTTAGTAATTATATTAGAACCACAACAATGCATGCCGAAAATTTTCATCGAAAATATTTTCAGATAGTTGTTCTTTCTATTTTAACACTCAACTTTATCAATTTGAGCCAAGGAATTCAATATGCGCGAAGAGTTTTTGGCAAGCGCTACTTTGTTTAGCATTCACCTCTTCTATTAGCGCATTCATAATCAGTATGGTCACACTGATGCGGTTGAAAAAATCTAACAAGGTTTGATATTCATTTTCATGGCATTCTTCAGAAGAATCATAATACATTTTGTTATTCAAAATCTAAATTCATCTTTGGCGAGCTTTTTTTTCAAGGATATAATTCAGCATTTAAAAAATGCATTTTATAGAGGTTAAATTCAAATCCTAATTCTACAATGGCTGCTAAAGGAAGAAGGAAAACTGAGATTATCTTCTTTCTTCAGGTAAAATGATTTGCTTATAAATGGCCATTGCTTTTAATGGATCCTTCTATTAAATTGCTTTCGAAAGAATTACAGGCATTTTCTTTTCCTTATTTTTGTCTACTAGAAAATTTTGATATACTTAAATGTAAAATGTAACGATAAGCCGCATGACTTTAATAATAGAACAAAGATAGAATTCTTCAATCGTTCACATTTTCAGAGCGTTGAAGTTAGGACTTTATTCCCAATGGGAATAAACTTATCTTTCATAAATCAGGGTAATACTGGGAATTCATCACTTCTAATATCAAATCGTTACCTGGCGAAGTTTTTTTGGCTTGAGAAGTGGAACAAACCTGACCATGGTTTAAAATACTCTATTAGAGTAGTGGTAGTAGTAGTAAAGTTCAATAAAAATGCCACTTTTCGATTTTTTGAATTAATAATAAGTTTTAGACATTTATCATTTGCACAATATCCATCGCAATCCTCGCGTATTATATTTTTGCACAATTTTTCCATAAAAATAAAGTGAATAGAGTTCTCAGTTTCATAATAGAAGAAATTGCAACAAATATAACAGGGTGCGTGCTTTTAAAAGAATTGAATTTGTCGCAAAAATTCAAATATTTTAATTTATTTTATATTTGATACTAATATTTTAATTTAATTTATTTGGCACAAAAAAACTTATAAATTGCTTATATTCTTTGTGGTGTTTAAAAATCTTATATTTTGGCATTTAATCATTTCTAATCATTTGCATTCTTATCAATTGCCCATTGATAATGGCAGGCATTTTATTTTTTTCTTAGAATTATTTGTCTACAGGTTGCTATTCAATTTCTTCGCAGTAAAACAAATATACGAAAATCGTATTTTTCCTATTTCAATCAAATGATTTCTTGTTGGCGTAAAATCTACAACAATCATTGCAATGCATTGCAATCACAAGTGTGCGATTTATTTTATGAAAGCTTAGCTTAACGATAAGAAATTGATTAGAAAAGAAGAAACAATTAGTTCAGAAGCGACAAATTTTCGTCATCCTAAACTAATTTTTGCAATTTTATTACTTCTTATTACTGCATAGCATTGTTGCAAATTTTTTAATTCTTAATTTTCCTGTCGATTCGACGAAAAAGGGATTGTGGAAAAATAACCGGTTTTTAGTCCATTAGTGGATGCTCCTATATGACGCAGTTTTTTATTCTTTCATTTTTGCCAATTTTGCGTTTTTTGTGAAATAGTCATACATTGTGATAAAATCTGCGGCAGAAGAAAATAAAATAAGAAGCCTTTATGATGAAATTTGTTCGATGCGATGCTAACCTTTGCAATATTTATGAAAGATTAATTTTTTTGATTTTAAAATCTTCTTTAATTAATCGTTATTCAGCACTATTAAAGTTCGTTTTGTCTTTTTTTCTTTTTAATGAAAGCTTAAGGGGCTTCAACGCGCTTTTCCCTTTCTTCGTAATACTTTCCATGGACAATGTTCATTTTCCAATGTTCATTTCTTATTGCCAGTTAAAGGCAGATTTCTTCCTATGATTTTCTATTATTTTGATTTGAAGAATTCAAACTAATCTGAATTTTATACTGATAAAAATAAAAATGAAAAAACACGTACATAATGGATGAACTTTCAAAAAAAACTCCCCCGAATTGATAAAATCAGAGGTGAAAACCACGAAAAAAATTCAGATTTAATGTGAAATTAGGAAAAATATCGTGAAGGCGGAAAAATAATACGAGATAACCCCTAAGAAATTTTCTTTAAAGAGAATCAAACTTTTCGATCACTTTTTTGGAGGTGACTTGCATTTGACAATTTGATAATACAATCGTGACTCTATTTCGGCTTTATTTAGTTAATCTGGAACAGTGAACACAATTAAGAAATATCTACTCTGAGTCGGATAACAATAGATAAAATAAGATTAAATGGCTTGAAATCGAAATGAAGATTATGAATTTCCTTTAGGAGGACGATGCCTGCGAGAATTTGAATGCTGAAAACTTAGCCTCTGGTTTCTAGTATCCAAGCTGATCTCATGTTCCAATCAGTTACGAGCAATTCTTGCAGAAAATACGCAGAAAATTAATGCCTAACAGCTTAGCCAACAGAATTTCTCCCTATGTCTCAAATTTCTCGACCTCGACTCACAACTTGTCGCACACTTGCATAGCCTACCGTCGAAATATGAAATCCAATTTTCATATGACCCATCGTGAAATAGCATGGAGATGGAAAAGGCGAAGTAGCAAAGTAACCAGCAGGATTTTACTTTTGAATTATCAAGCTGCTATCACAAGACAGAAGTGTTTGATAAATGAAGCCAAAGTAACTCAATTATTTTTCTCCTTTAAACCCTTGAAAAACGTAAGTAACTTTGAATTTTTATATTTTTGCATTTTTTGTGATCAATTTTTGGTCACAACCCATAGTATATTAAATTCTCCTCAAAATTACTTTCAACAAATTCGACAAATATTTATTGTAAAAGGGTAATTTCTCCATAGTACAGTGGTCGAAACAGCTTTTTTCGTTTTCTTCCGTTGCAAGAATCGTAGACTTATTGCTTTCTCATATAATTCTATGAGAAAAAATTTGTCAAAGCCATGGAACATTTTAAAATGAGGAATCAATTTATTTCACCTGTCTCTGTCTAATAATATGCCTTAATGCTTGAAAATAATATGCCTTCTGTAGAAATAATCGTTGGAATAGCCAGACATTTCAGAAAAAGTTTAATAACTTTAATAAATTAGCTTTAGAAAAGTAATTAATGCCATAATTTACGTCCCCCTCATTCAACAGATAAATGAAAATAAGGAATCCGTCGTCATCAAGGTAATATACTCTGCCTCAAAAAGTTAAAAGCTTCTTGATATAATCTCAGCCAACCGTGACTTTTATCAGCTCTCCCTTGTAGGAGATTACACTGAACAGCAACAAACAGAGACTATCGACATTGAAATATTTCTACCTATATTTCTATGGTTATTTCAACGAGATAGTTTTTCGGTAAACATTTTTGGGTAACTTTGGTTCTTGTCTTTTGTTGTTTCCATATTTATTCAGAGAAATAAAAAATGCTGTTGCAATTCATATCGTTTTGACGTTGCCTTATATTTTCTCTTTTTTTATTTTCGTTTACTTTCTTATTTTTATTTTTTCTTAATATGTTAAATTTTGTTCTACTGAATATGTTCCTAATAGAATCTCAGTTTTTATGAATTTATGCTTGCTTTAGTCCATTTTTTTATCGCATTTGTACAAGTCAGTAAAACATATTTTTGCATATTTCACACATGGATCGTATTGGTTTTCGTTAGAGCTAATTTACTGCAAACGATAAGCCAATGTTTTCTACTTAATTTATACGCCAAATACTATTTAAATAAATTTTGATATATTCATTTTCATTGCCAAACAATTCGCAAAGGAATCGAACAGATATGAAAGTTTCAGATAAAAATTTTTATAAGATTTTGATCAACTAATTTTAATTTCATATTGTATGATCATTTAGTTCTTCTAAAACGAATAAAATTAAGGGAATAAATAAAATTATGTGAAAGAAATCCTTTTCAAATCCTTTTTATATTCGATATTTTTTGCAAAATTTTTTGATAATTTTTAAAATTATTTTCATGCTTCATATATTATTTATTATGGAAGTGAAGCATAAAAGTACACCGTCAAATTAATTAATCCAATTAACTCAATCTATAAATGATTTTAATTTGACATCACAAATGAACGTTATCAAATATTCAGGATGAAAATCACATAATCGCGAATGGTTAGCTTTATTAAGAGAATAATCAAATTTATGCAGTGCAATGGCAGTAAATAATTCAATACTTTCCCATTCACCGGGAAAATTATAAAAATTATTGTAAAAATTATTGAAAATTATCGTTATTAAATCATTATATTAATTCTAAAATTATATAATCTACATTTTTTCAAGGGACTTTCAAAAAACAGTTATATATTAAATACATAAATTATATAAATTTTTATTGTAAGTTTTTCGAACCATTAAATTAATTGAATTACTTTTCATAATAGAGATTTTCTATTGAATGGTCAAAAATAAATGATGTTGCACCAAATGATGTTGAACACTAATATTAACGTCACATATCCGATTTGATGTGAATATTAATCGGTTCTGACAAGTCTGACAAGAAAAATGTGACTATTCAGATATATTACCTTAAAATTACTTCCATAACTTCCATACTAGTTCATTTCATTGATTCGGAAATTCTACAAAAAAATAAAACGTAGTTCATACGTAGTATGCCGAACTTTCATAAACAGAGCTCATTAAATTTAATGAAATTAATTTCCGAAACACTTACACTTGCACTTGATACGGCGTCCGCGACTATCGACGCGAATGATACTTCGAGCCAGATGGTACATGCGATAAGTATACAATCCGGCGACTCCAAGGCTGGTAAATAAAATATGCTAGTAAACCAGGGTAATTGATCGAAACCTATCAAAGGGAACAGCTTTCTGCTCGCGCGGCTAGCTATTAGCCGTATCAGCGGGAAACGTCAGAATGCTCATGGACGTTGCAAGCCAAGCGATCACTGTCCACACCCTCTAAGTATGTGGATATCGCTTGCTTGTCGAAGGTCCGCCTTCTTCACTTTGGGTCTCGAGCAATTATTTATCCTGGTTCAGAGCAGAGATACTGGCTGTGGTGCTTCGGACAACTCGGGACGAAATGGCGTAGCGATTGTCATGCTGACAAGGCCCATTCCGTTTTAATTGAGTGGAAACCTGTAAACGATCGTATGGCCTACGCCCATTATAAGGGTAAGTTCTGCAATATTTCTGTCATCACTATCTATTCTCCAACTCTGTCGTCAGATGACCATGATAAAGACAAGTTCTATGCGGAACTTCAACTGCTTACAGAGCCGAAACATGACATGATCATAATCGGAGGAGACTGGAATGCTCGAGTAGGTCATAATGCAGCTGTGATCAACAATTGGTAAATATGGCATCGGAGACCGGTGTACCAATGGGGAATCTCTTCTTCGTTATGCCGAAGAGCATGAACTTTTTGCTTGCTTCTGGCGTCATAGAAAACATCTAATCACGTGAACCTACCCGGACAACCAACACTTCAATCAGGTTGATTATATCTTAGTCAGTCATCATTGGAAGAGTTCCGTACTAAATAGTCGTTCTTATCGCAGAGCTGAAACGGCAATCTTCATGAATCTGATCATGTTATGGTTCGAGCCAAGATCCGCATAAAATTGACAACTCGCAGAAAACAACATCCCGCAAGTTCCTTCAACTATTTCAAACTAAAAAATTTGGGAACAGTGAGCGCATTTCAAGCCGAATTATTGAAGCATCTCAATAATACAAATATCAATGATTTTTCTAGAACGGCAAATGAATACTAGTCCAAATTAAAGGAATGTCTCCAAAAATCAGCCACTTCCACGCTAGGGCATACTAGTAGGAAGAGCGCTAGTTGGGTATCGGAAGCAACTGTCCAATTGTCTGAAAAAGCTGCCAAAGCACGAATGTCAGGTGATCCTGACTACCGGGTGCTTCGAAGAAGCAGCAACGAAAGCAGCAAGGCCGGATAGAAATCACTATTGGAGTAACATGGTCTCAAAAATGGAGGCAGCGAATCGATTAGGCGATAATAACAAACTTATCTGCCTTCTTCGTAAAGCAACTATGACTCGGGCAACGATCAGTGAAATGGTAAGAGACAGCAATGGCGTACTAATCAAAAGTATTAAGATGGAAAGAATTCTTTGAGACCAAACTTAGCCATGAAGCGCCATCTGTTGCCCCTGATATAGCTGATACGTTTGCCGAAACATACGCGCTTGCAATTGCGAGCCTCCAACAGAAGAAATAATTCTAGTTATCCATAAGCTTAAGGAATAAAATTCCAGGAGAAGATGGTCTTCGGGCTGAGCTTTTCAAATGCTATCCATCGTCCTACATAACGCACCTTCAACAAATGTACTTTTTAGTATGGAAAAAAGAAATATTGCCACATTATTGGAGCAAAGCAATGCTCCCAATTCTCAAGAAAGATGATAGGACTGCGACAATTATCGAGGAATCAGCCTACTAGACGTCTCAGCAAAAATTTTTGCTTCATTGCTACTCAACAGACTTATGAAAGTACGGGCTAGCAGAATGCGCCCTAATCAAGCTGGTTTCAGACCAAGGAGCGGTTGTGCTGACTAGATATTTAAGAAGGATGTTGGAACATTTGCTTCAGATATTTGCAATCCACTGCCATGTGTTTCGTCAACTTTGCGGCTGCCTTTGATTCAACTGATAAAGCGGCGTTTTGAAGGGCGATGGAACGATATGGTGTTCCAGAGAAAATCATTAGACTCATAAAGGCATTTTATGAACGCAAGTCGGCGCAGGTCTATGTATATGGAAAGCTGACAGATTTTTTCGAAATAAGAACAGCTGTCCGCCAGGGCTACGACCTTTCCCCCACAATATTCAACTATGCGATAGACTGGATAATGGATACCGCTTGTCTGCACTCAAGAGATGTCCGAATTAGTCCAGAGCATCGTATCATAGATCTTGAATATGCTGATGATGTAGTCCTTTTTGCTGACAGTGATAATGAAATGCAAGTAATACTAAATAACTGAAACTGTATCGAGAATCGAACTTAGGATTAATGTAATTAAAACGAAAATCTTTTCGTCTTATGTGCAAGAAGCTGATAAAATGCCTCTTTTTGTAAATTCATTGATTAAGGAAATGCCCGATATACCTTACCTTGGCTCCACTATAATACCAAATGGACAGGCAAAAGTTGTTATTACAACTTGGATCACGGCTGCTAGAAATACATTCTTCTGATTGACGAAACCTTTATGGAGTGAAATTACCATAAAAACGAAAGTCCGCATCTATATTGCCGTGATCCTCTCGATCTAGCTATATGTTTCTGAGACATAAATTGATGCTTTTCCATCTGTTTTAGGTTCAGTTGAATTATTGGTCTAATAAAAAATACCCTGAAAAATAGCAAGCTTTTGTCGTAATTACAATGAATTACGAAAAAAAGCATGCCAAATTACAAAAAAGCATTCATCCGTCTTCGTTCAAATACCATTTGCATTAATAAGCCATCTTCCACGATTAGAGCACATTCTTCGTCGTGCACCAGAAGAAGTGACGCATATTTCGCTATTTGCTAAACCTGTGTGATGAATGGCATCAAAAGCGAGCTGGACCAATCAAGACCTGGACTAATACGGTGAGAAAAAATTTTGAACGTATAGGTGGACCGGCAATATATGGACTTAGACGATGGAAAAAGGAATGGCTTCCATAACTGTCGACGATGGCATCAGACCGCGCCACTTGGAAGCGTCCTAAGTCAAAGCGAAGCGTTTTATTTAAGCAATTTCCTTGTAGCCGTTGGAGTCAGCTTAACCAGTAATGCTGAAAGCTGTTAGAAGAAGAATTTCTGAATAAATTGCTTAAATAAAAATCAAACTCAATTAAGTTCATTAAAATATAAATTAATTAAAAAATAAATCAGTTTTGCTTTAAATTTTACGGTTATAAAAAAGATTAAAATAGTTGTATGATATATGATATAATAATTACTTTTATTGTTTTTACTAATTATTACTTTTACAGTATTTTATTATAGTCCCATTTCTATTTTATGCGCAAAACATAAGTGCAACTTTTAATTTTGTCTCCATAGCAGTTGCAAGTCCAACTGTAATACAGATTTCTTTTTCAGAGCTCCCACCATTGTTAGTGTGAAAAATAAATTAATAAAATTATTGAATGGAAGCAGTGGGATGCTCGACGCGCGTTAGTTATATTAGAATAATCTTGACTGCTTTCTCAGGACAATATAATAAACATTGATCACCGCACGTATCAATAAAAATCTTTATTCCTCAAACTTGGGTAAAGTAAATTGAATATTGAAATATTGGGACCTAGCCACTCGGATCCCTTGATGGCACCAAAAGAATAGTTTTCTTGAAAAGGTTATCCTTTACGTTCTTATGAATTGACCTCTATTCTACTGACATGCGTGAAGATAAGGAATTAATGAATAACTGAAAGGCTTTATTTGGCGGATCGGAGTCATTATTTTAAAATAATAAATTTAAAATAATAAAAAGATCGCATTTCGCAACAATTAGTTAGGTTCATTTTTCAAGAGTTCCACATGCAACTTTAAATTTCGTTCCCATAGCAGTTGCCCCCATAGCAAATCTAACTTTAATATAGATTTCTTTTTCAGAGCCCCCACCGTTGTTAGTTAAATTTACTAGCTTTCGAACCAGACAAATTTTACTATGGAGCCACAAAGCGATTGACATATTGTGGAGGACCGAAACTATTGGGAAAGGATTGGCGAGGTTTAGTATATGAGGTTGGATAGGCAAAAATGACTTGAAACGGAAAAGATGCGGTTCAGAATTGATGGTCTAATGGCTTGCCGTTTGTATCCAAGTAGGATATGAATTTCTTATCTTTATTACAATATAAAATTATAAACAATTAGTTCAAGCGAACAATTAAAAAACAAATGAAATTAGATAAGAAACAAAAGGGGGGGGGCCAAATTTCCCATATCTGACTGTAAGCAAGGGAGGGATATATACATGAAGCAGACTCAGAGTATATATCTAAATATATAAACAAGGCCGAAACTCAAAAATTCAAAACCAAAAAATACCGTAATACCCAAATACTCAAAGTACCAAATACAAAATGCTCTATATCATGCGCATATATATATATATATATATATGTATATTATTTCTATTAACCAAATAAAAATTTTGTGTGAACAGCTTAGCATGCATAATTAACAAATGTTTAAACAAAAACTATAGTTTATTTATGTTTGGATAGTTGTGAGATTCTGTATAATAAATTAGTTTTTTTTGGTACAAAAAGGAAATAGAATTTTAACTTAGAATGATTCACAGCATTTATTTGGTGAATTTAATTTATATGTTTTTTTTGTGTTCGATTTTTGTGATATGATGTACAGAAGATTTATTAAAAATACAGCTGAAATAAAGGGTGAGTTACTAAAATTGCATATTGAAAAGTGCGAATACAAAATTGCATATATTTTCTGTGATTTATAAAGGTCATTTAACATTTCGAATGATTCGTGGTGAAAAAGTTTGCGACAATGCAACATTCTCAGAAAAAATTGGAATTCTATATTCCTTTCTTTGTTTCGATATTTCTGGTCCAAAGACTTAGATCCGAACTTTAATTTGAATGTTTCAGTAATCCGTGCAGTAGTTATGCGTGCACATAGCGCACATGCCATATTATATCTTAGTTAATCATCTGTTTAGAAAACCAACCTAACCAGTTATGGTGAAAGCTATTAGAAGAAAAAGAAGAAAAAAACAAAGCATCAATGAATATTACTGTCAATCAATGAACATTCAACTTCTCGTTGAATCAAAATAAGAAAAAAATTTGTATTTTTATCACTAACTTAAATTAGAAAATTTTCAGAATTTTTTTTGAATTGATCCACTAATTATCTTTATAAACTGTCAAAAAAAGGTAGCCAGCGATATCATGTAAAAATTCAAATTCTACTTGAGGTCATGAAAATCACAAACAACAATTCTCCTAAACAGAATTATCAATTAAATCAGTTTGTTAATGAAAATAGTTTAAGCTCGTCAAAAGCCAATAGGTGTATCTTTTGGCTCGATGAAGTTAATTAGATTAGTTTGGTAGATTAGCGCGAATGAAACTAAAAATCCCTTAGTGACACAAATTCATTTGCTTGAATCGAATATTATAAAACTTACTTTTCATATTAAATTGTTCACTAGAGTAGTTTTTTCGCGTAGTAATTTTTATCATGAATTTTTAAATTTTGAATTTTTAATTTATCTTTTTTGTTTAGTTTACTTTTATTTAAATTTAAATTTTACTTTTTTGCCAAAAGATTTTTAATCTTTTAATTTTTTAATCTTCATCAAGATAAAGTTCGCCTTCTTATTTATGGTTTTTTTTATGGCTTTTAATCTAACAGTAGTCGCAGCTACTTGCTTGGCTTATCAAAATAGGACTATTTCACTTGAAATCACTTTATGATAGATGGAAAACAGCTAATTATTATAAATCATTTTTTTATAAACTATTCTCCGAGGGAAAAATGCTCTATTCTTTTGAAGCAATCAGCTATCAACCTTAATTCTCAATTTGAAGTTATTTTCGAAAATCCTTATTAATGACCCTACTTGCTTCTTTTAACTTATTATTTATCAAGCATAATAAAAGGAAAAAAAATTAGAAAAAGCTTATTAGCAAGAAATTGCAACCATTCTCATAATGCTATAAAATTTATATTCGATAAAGCATTTTTCCAGTTTGCTTTCCTAGTCGAACATTGTTCCCTTAAGGCATTTTCAAAAATTTGAGAGGATTACTGAAATTTCGCGATGAACGATAGACAGTATTTTCTGATATATTGCTCGGTAAGTGTTTATTATTTCTATACTAAGGGAGGAATATTAATTTCTTATTTTTGATTGCTTTTAATTTGAATACAAGCGAGTGAAATAGATTTTCGTACTCTGTGGAATTAAACTGAATTCGAAAAATTCGCAAGTGGCTTCGATATTAAAGCATTCTGCATTTGCGCATTAGCTCAGATAATCTTTTTGCGAATCGCTTACCAATTTTCATCTGCCAGAATTACCATACTCATATTCATATTTATAGTACCAGAAGGCCCCAAATTTAAGAAAGGCTTATTATTACAATATTTTCTTTAGGTATATTGCCAAAATAAAGGAATTTTCCATCAAAAACACGAATTTCCATCGAAAGGATATTCATTGAACTTCACGATAGAAGATTTTTCATTTTTTCAATCTTTTCAAAATCCGCTTAATGCTGCGAAGTTTTAGCAGAGCCTAAAAAACTTCCAAGCCACAGTTTTCTAACAAGTTCAACGCAAATATCTGGTGAACACCATCTTATTTTCAGGCAAATTTATTCGGATTGTTGATAAATGCTTGCGTTATAATTACTATCAAATATGCAAAACGATTTCATAACGCTTTTGGAGTGTTAATCACTGCATATTGCTTATTTACTATGGCAACGATGGTCATCAGAAATGTGTTGATCGGACACATCTATTTACTGTGAGTTGACATATTGAAAACGACACAAACTCAAAAGGCACATTCACGATACGATCTTTCGATTCTTTACATATTTTACTTAATGATGTGAACCTAGATTTTCGCTTGTTTCAATTTTGTCTTAACACAGAATTGAAGAACTTCTTCATGAAATATTTAGTGATAAGAGCCTGAATATATCATGGCTTGGAAAGTTATCCAGTTATTTTAACGCAATGCTTCGTTCCTCAAATGCTGTTATTTATGTAGTAATCTCTGTTAATCGCTATTATGCTGTTATGAATCCGTTGAAATATTCATTAAAATTTACTCCAACGATTGCATATCGAGTATGTTGCGGCATCTTATTTATATCAGTTCTAATCTGGTCACCACTGGCTCTAGGTTCATTTCACTTCTTGGGACCACACCAATTCACATCGAATTTGAATTTGAATGTAACGAAAATATTTTCAGATAGATGCTCCTTTTATTTCAACACAGAACTTTATCGATATGGGCCAAGGAACTCAATATGCTCGATAAGATTTTGGCAAGCACTACTTTTTTCATCGCTTGCTTCAACCGTTGCCGCATTCATAATTAGTGTAATAACATTAATACAATTGAAAAAATCTAATAAAGTTAGTTAAACATTAATGGTATTCTTCAACCAAATTATAAACAAATTGAAATATCAATATTGAATATAAAATCAAATATTACACTGCGTTCATTAATTTGAAATTTGGAATTCACGAAAGCGTAGCCAGTAATAAAGGATTTCCTTGAGAGTGAAATCTATGTTTTATAATCTTTTCAAGAAGAAAATGGTTTAACATTTTAAAAGCTGTTTTATAGCTAATTCTTTCGCAATGCAGTTCTGCAGCTGCTGGTAATGCGAGAAGGAAAAGTGAGATAACCTTCTTCCTTCAGGTAAAAATAAATTTATAATATTTTGCAAAATATAGTTTTAAAAAAATTAACAAATTAAATTGAGCAAATTAAGATAAGTTCTAAGAGGAGCTTCAACTATTAATAAAGCTTCTACCGAAAAAGACATGGTCATAATTGGGGGAGACTGGAATGCGAGCTTAGGTGATGATGCCAATGCGATGATATCGACAATTGGCAAATATGGCATCGGAGATCGCTGCGCCAATGGAGAACGCCTTCTTCGTTATGCCGAAAAGCATGAACTTTTTGTTACTTTTTGTTACTGTAACGTTGCTTCTGACATCGTAGAAACAATCTAGTCGCGTGGAACTCCTCGAATTCAACCAGATTGATTACATTTTAGTCAGTCGACGAGTTCCGTACTAGATAATCATTCCTACCGCGGAGCTGAAACGAGCAATCCTCATGGATCTGTTATGGTTCGAGTCAAGATCCGCATAAAATTGACAACTCGTAGAAAACAACATCTCCAAAGATCTCTCAACTATTTCAAACTAAAAAATTCGGAGGCAGTAAGCGCATTTCAAATCGAATTATCTCAATGATACAAATGTCAATGACTTTTCTGGAATGATAAATGAATACTGGTCCAAACTAAAGGAATGTCTCCGAAAATCACTTCCACGCTAAGGCATACTAGTAGAAAATGCGCTAGTTGGATATCGGAATCAACTGTCCAATTGCCTGAAAAAGCTGCCGAAGCATGAATATTAGGTGATCCTGACTACCGAATGGTGCAAAAATTTGAAACGAAAACAACACAGCGGGCAGAAATTACTATTGGAGTAACCTGGCCTCAAGAATGGAAGGGGCTTGATTAGGCGATAATAGGAAACTATTCTGTTTTCTTCATAAAGCAAGTATGACTCTGGGAACGATCACTGAATTGGTAACGGACACCAGTGGCGTGCCGATCAAGAGTATTAAGGACCGCCTCATAAGATGGAAAGAATTCTTTGAGGCCAAACTTATCATAAAGCGTCATCTGTTGCTGCTGCTTATACGTTCGCCAAACGATACGCTTGTAATTGCGAGCCCCAGCAGAAGAAGAAATAATCTCCGTTATCCACAAGATTAAAAAGACTCTGTGAGAATGCGGTCGTCTTCGGACTATAACTCTTCAAACGTTGTCGTCATCCTTCATATCACACCTTCAACAACTGTACTCTCTAGTATGGGAAAAGAAATGTTACCAGATGTTTGACAAAGCAATTCTGCTTCCAATTCTCAAGAAAGATGAAAGGACTGCGACAATTATCGAGGAATCAGCCTACTAGACGTCTCAGCAAAAATTTTTACTTCATTGCTACTCAACAGATTTATGAAAGGGTTAGCAGGATGCGCCCTAATCAAGCTGGTTTCAGACCAAGGAGCGGTTGTGCTGACTAGATATTTAAGAAGGATGTTGGAACATCGCTTCAGATATTTGCAATCCACTGTCATGTGTTTCGTCAACTTTGCGGCTGCCTTTGATTCAACTGATAAAGCGGCGTTTTGAAGGGCGATGGAACGATATGGTGTTCCAGAATAGAAGGCATTTTATGAGCTTACGTCGGCGCAGCTGTACATATAAGGAACTGACAGACTTTTTTCAAATAAGAACTGGTGTACGTCAAGGTTGTGCCCTTTTCCTTACAGTATTCAACTATGCAATGGGCTGAGTGATGGACATTGCTTGCCAGTACTCAAGAGATGTCCAAATCAGTCCAGAGGGTCGTATCACTTGAATATGCTGATGATATAGTCCTTTTTGCTGGTAGTTATGACGAAATGCAAATAACGCTAAATAACGTATAAGAAAGTGCAGCGAGAATCGGACTCAATGTAAGGGCCAATGTAATTAAAACGAAAGCTTTTTCGTCCTATGTGCAAGAAGCTGATAAAATGCTTTTTTTCTAAATTCATTGGCACTTGAGGAAATGCCTGATTTTAAATATCTTGGGTCCACTCTAATACCAAACGGCCAGGCAAAAAGAGATCTTGCCTAGGTCACGGCAGCTAGAAATGCGTTCTTCCGATTAACGGAACCTTCATGAAGCCGTTGTGAAATTACCATAAAAACGAAAGTCCGCATATATATACTTTTCGATCGTGCTATATGGCTATGACGCATGGCCAATGAAAGTGGAAGATATTAAGAAGCTAACAACTTTTGACCACTCTTGTCTAAGATATATTTTACGCATCTGTCGAGCGGATAAAATCGCATTTGATTGTATCCATCTTTGCTCAAGTATCATCTGTATTAATATTGTCATCACAGAGCGTCGCCTTCGCTGGTTAGGGCACGTCGTCCACCACTGGAATTGGTGCATATTTTGCTACTTGTCGAACCCTGTGATAATTTGCCCTAAAAGCGAGGAGGTCCAATCAAGACCTGGAATTATACAGTCAGGAAAGATTTTGAATGATAAGAGGACCAGATATATGTGGACGATGGAAAAAGGAATGAATTCTATTGTTGTCGACGATGGCATCGACCGCGCCACTTGGATGTCTTACCCTTGCAGGTCCAGCCTATTGGTGAGAATGTTATTGAATTTGCCTTTCGACGAAGGAATTTAAGCAAAAAAAAAAGAAAAAGATTAAATTGAGTATTAGAGAAAATTCCAGAGACTTGTTGCTTTTCTCTTTCGGATATTTTGGGTTTGTAAAATATTTGACTGAAAAAGTTATATTTGACCTTTTGAATTAAAACTTTGTAGGCCTATAAAGAAAGGTCTTAAATGACGTTGAGAGAGGGACCTCATTTTTTCATGAAACTAATAAAAGCGGAGATAGAACTGAGAAGCGATGGTTTAGTGGGTTGTAACGCCAATTTCAAAGCACCAGTGCTTGGGTTACTCTAGTCTGGAAGGAAGATTTTTTAAAGTGTGATGGTGAAATTTCGCTCACTATTGAATTTGCCTGGTCCGACGAGGGAGTTTAAGCAGAAAAAAACCTAATAAAAGTAATAGAACGGGTGCAGTATGATAAAGATCAATAAAAAATACTGATCTGTAATAGCAGTATGATAAAGCTGAATAAAAGTACTGGTCTGACATTTTAGACGTTCATTATCTGCACAATAAGCATCGCAATCCTCACGTATTATATTTGCGCACAATTTTTCAATAAAAACGAATCGAGTGGAATTCTTGGTATAATATTAGAAGAATCTGCAACAAATATGACAGCGTGAGCGCTTGAAGATTTCAAGTAAATTCGTCGCGAGGATTCAATTATTTCAATTATTTGTGTTTGGCAGAAAACTTACAAAATTTTTTGTGTTCTTCCTTAGTTTTTGTTGGAAATTCCTACATTTTGGCATAACCTCAGCCATCCCTATTAATCTAATAATCTAATAATGAAAGAAATCTACGGAGAATTAAAATAAAAATATTTATTTATTTTTATCTAAAAATATTGTTCTTCAGGTTGCTCTTCAATTTTTTCACAGCTAAAGGATTATGGGAAAACCATATTAGTCCAATTCAAGCATAAAATGAAATCTGTTTGCCTTAATCCTGCAAAATAAATATTCGCAACTGTAGGGTTTAATAAGTTAAAGTTTAGCTTATTGCTGGGAATGTGATTACAAAAGAAAATTTAAGTTTTAAACTTTAGCGATTTGTTGTTCTTTTATATTTCCTGAAATTTGTAAGCATTTTAAATCCATAAAATGCGAATATAAGCAATATGAATAATATTTGTGATTTCGTCTGATACATTTACTGATGAAAATATACAAATTATTTTCTGAAATCTTCTTTGCTTCATTTTCCGATATTGTTCTATTGTGAATTTAATTGTTTAGTTTGTTATTTCTTTTTTATTCGCCTAAAATTGTAAGATTTATTGGTACTTATGACGATATTGCTTGTCTAGCTAAAATAGTTCTAAAACCCTTACTCTCCCTATCATTTTACTATAATCAATGGTGTTCTGAGTAGATAAGCTTTCAGAGAGTCTCGCTCAAGTAGCCTAACAGGAATAAATGGTTGCAATTCGAATCTTTGTTGTCCCATTCCATATTAATCGTTTACCTTAACCATTGCGCTATAAGAGAATAGACATATAATATATATATATATATATATATATATATACATTATAAGTGAAATTATTACTGTTAATATAAACGTTATTTAAGTAATCTGATTTTACTACACTTAATTTAGAAGAGTAATTAATTCATAAAAATGATTAATTTTCCTTAATTTTAATCAATCAATCCTACTTGCAAACTTAAGAAAAAAATTTTTTGTGGTGAAAAAGTGCTTTTTTCAAAAATCTACGAATTTTTTTTATATTTTTAATAAGAATTTTCCACGAATAAACTGAAAAAAATTTCTTTTGATATATTTAATAAAATCACATTATTTTTTGCAAAAATTTATGAAATTTGCACCCACTTTAAATTACCAATTGGTAAATACTTTCAAGGTGTTCATCTCATTAAATTGGTTCACTGAGCTGATCGTACAAATTTCGGACATTATGTTGGCAAAGTACTGTAGGTTAACGGGGGCATATTAAATTAAAATAAAAGTCAGTTATGTTCACAGAATTCATATTGTTCTAATATTTTCGTGATGGAAAATAAAAATTCAAGAAATTTAACTGTTAAAAACATTTCCCATTCTATAATCCTCGCATTTCTGAAGAGTTTTGTCCAGAGGCCTGTTTCTGAGATTTTCGCTGGGAACCAAGCCAACAACTTAAGGATGTCGACCAGAACTATCAAGCATTGAAATAATTTCCAGTGCGAAAAGAATTTTAATTTTAATTTTGATCAGTTTCAAATTTCTTATTTTTTTTCGCTATTTATTATTTTTTATTATTTATGATTTTGAACATTGAATTATTAGCGATCGCACAACAAAAAGTTTCATAAGTTTCGTGTGGAGTATTGCGTTATAATTTATATGCTATAGTTTTCATGGAGCATCGTAATAATTTGATAAGATAGCAAAGAGATCCAAAGTAACCAATGATATTCATGAATAATCACTTAAAGTATAGGCTTGGTACCCTTAATAAATCCTTTAGCATTGCTTTGACATTGTTGCAAATTTTTTTTACTCTCTTGATTGGTTAACTCCTATTTCTTTTCTGGAGATACTCATTGTCACTGGCTGAGCTTTTCTGCTACCCAGATAAATTTTGAGCAGCTTAGCAACAGGTATATAGAAGCACAGGTGACCAGCCAACATTATTTGCACTATTTTAAAAACAGATTAGCCCTCGCTAGATATTAAATCACAGCTCCGATATTCCAAACTGACAAAATAATCAACTGAGCCATTCTAAGTCTCCC